TGCGTATAAATATTGTGTATAAAAAATTCTCATTATTATTAGTATAGAAGTATAAATAATAATAATAATTATTATTATTATTGTTATTATTATTATTATTATTATTTTTATTATTATTATTATTATTATTATTATTATAAGAAATACAAAGTATATAAAAACTCAGTTGCAAAACTAAATAAATTATAAATAAAAAAAGTCACTATATTTATGTATTTACGTTTGTTACATAAAATTTTTTAAGTTTTTAAAATTTTCAAAAAAATCTTTCTTATTCTAGGTACAGATACAATGAAGTTAATTAAGTTTAATTTTAATTTATTTAATTAACAGCCTACAGCTATCTGTTACACATGTTTATGTATAGTTGATAATAATTGGAAGATTTAATTCGTAGCATAAATTAAATTTCTTCTACATTTTAAGCCTTACACGAATTTTCATATTTGTAAATGTTTTTTAATTAAATTTTCCGCGCATATTAAAATTTAAAATTATTAAAAACCAATCTCCATATATATATATATATATATATATATATATATATATATCTATATATATATATATATATATATATATATATATATATATATATAAAGATGCAATTCTCTATTTTTATTTTATTTTATACGCAATGGTTGCACTATACTTGAATTTAAAAAGTATACATTTTCAATCCTTCATCACTAGGGTGCAATTATTAAATTTTGTTTCATTTTTTCAAGGTTAAATATTATATTTAAAATTATTAAAGAAGTAAACCCTACTATTTTGCATAACATATATTTTATAATCCTTACAATATTTTTATCTGAATTCATCATATCCTTAGAAATTTAAACTTTCTTTATTCTTTTTACAATTAATTCCTGAGAAATTGATCTTCTTGAATTAATTTTTATTTATCGTATTAGTACGTGACTATAGTTATACGATTATGAATTCTTATTGAATTTTTATTGCCGCAATTTAATTGTTTGTCTTTATTTTCGAGACACGAAGAATATGCAACCATGCAAGCATTACATGACTACATCCAATTATTGAACACATAAAATTTAAGTTAAATATAAATGTATGTCAATTGTTTTAATTTTTTTTTAGAAAAATATAATTATAACTCAGAAATAATTTTTAACTTTTTATTTAATTCAAATTTTTATCATATTTATTTATAAATTAATTTATAATAATTTTAAAATGTTATTAATGATTTAAAATAAATTTGTACTACAATATAAAATATTAATTATAAATCTAAAATGTATTTTACGTGTCTAAAAGTATTTATTTACATATAAAGTAAGGTAAAAACTGTTAAAATAAAGTAGCAGAATTAAATATTTCAATTAAATAAACTTATAAAGTGGTGTATGATACTTTGAAATGTGGGCATAATATTGAAACGAGGGCAATGTTGGGAGAAGAGAATTGAAAGGAAAGAAAATGAGCAATTAATTACTTTTCTGAGTTGAAAAGCAGGAAAAGAAAAGGAATAGGATGTGGTGTTTTATTCCTGCCATTTATGATATGTTTAACATGGAAGATACAGATGTCCCAACTGGAACAGATTCCTATGTAGTATATAAATTGGTGGCAGACGAATACAGATCTCCACTTTTTCTTTCTTATAAAAATTACAACCTTATATACAACAAATAAATAGTTGATTCGTCAAATCCAATAAAAATAATTAAATTAATTATCTTTAATTAATAATATTATAATTTAAAATTCTGGAGTTAACTTTTATTCTTTTTGTATATGGCAGTATAACCCGTATTCATTCAATCATGTTGAATATGAATACCAACAACGAGAAAGAGAGGAATAGGCCTTCAACGCGCCAAAAAAAAATGAAAAACATGTAAAACAAACATGCCTTTAGACTGTCATTGAGTTTCTTTATAATGGGTATTGTACTAATACAGTTGATAATGTAAATTTTTGGTTGATTAGGTTATATATGTTATCGATATTAACCAAGTCAATAACATAAACCCAGAGATAATGCTAGTCTATCGAGTTGAATATACTAATTTTCAATTCGGACAGTTGTCTCATATCATAATTATAACGGTTGTGAAATCAAAGAAAGTGGATAGACACAGTAAAATCAATGACAAAGAGGTATATATAAGTGTTTGGAATATAAATAAAATCTCGTATCAATAAATTTGTGAAATGATATATAAAAATAGATTTCACTGAATAAGAGTTTAAGTTTCTTATTTGAAATAAGTTTCTTATTTGAAGTACACATATTATAATGATGATACCAATGAATTATAACAAAAAGTGATAAATTATGAAATGATATATAAAGATAAATTTTGTTGAATAAGAGATTATATCCTTTATTTGAGGTACACATATTACATTAGTTTAAAAAAACCTTTTGGATGATAATCATGAGAACTTAGGTTCAAAATCTTATTAGTGTGAAGTTGTATTAAATAATTCAATTAAAAAGAATAACAATAAAGTTATAATTTTTTTCCTGATATAAATATTTACTCAAATAAATAATAAAATAATTCTAACAATAAGATAATATATAAGAAATATGACAATTATATTAATTTGATTATCGAAGTCTTTTTTGTAAGTACTTTCAACATGGTCTGGACAAAGATTAAAGGACAATCTGATCCAACATCCAAAGATGAGTAAAGAATGAAATCTTACATAATAACCATTTCATCCAAGTTTATTTCGGTAAATAAGTACTTGTCTAAATTTTTTCTTTAAAATAAGTATTTTTATATTTTATAATAAGCAACTCTTATTCTTTAAAAATATTATTTTTCTAAACACTTGTTTAGAGGCAATTTTTTTAAAAAATTTAAAAAAATAATTTCAATATTATGTGTTTGTTTGACCTATTTCTTTTTTAACAGAAAAAAAAAGCTTAAATATAATTTTTTTATGAAATTTAAAATAACTTTACTTTTTGTCTTATAAATTTAAAATTGATCTATTTTAGTCTCCATAATTTCATAAATAAAAAATTTTATAGTCTTTGAGAATCACATCAGTAATATAGTTAATAGTTAACTGTGAGAAATTGAGACGGAGATATGCACAATTAGATTTAATATGGTATTTAAAGATTAGAATTTAGAATTTTATTTAATTAATTTACTAAAGGCAGTTGAGTAAGTGAATAAAAAAAAAAACAAGAATAAAACAGAAACATTTTATTTTTTCTAAATCTTGGTCCACCCTAAAAAGTTAAGCACTTTTCCATTTTACTGCAACTGGGGCTGTGATTGATATTCTCACTCCCTCTCATTTTCATATTTAATACTTTGTATGTATGGTACACATTACCCATTAAAATATAATAAAAAATAAAAATAAAAAAAAGCACGTGCTTACAGATATGTATGCATTTGCGTAATGTTCTTGGTTTTTGAAATTGATTATTTATATAAGCCAATTCTGAGTGTCTCCAATTCGTTCGTTTATATGCTTTCATGAGATATGATTGACAAACAGAATATGTGCCCTGTGGACCACATTAATTTCTTTGATTCGCACATATATAGCATTCAAACGCCAAAAGAAAAAAATTAAAATAATCGCATTTAAAAAATAAATATGATAATTAAAGATATCTTATCTTAATATATATAATTTATCTTTTCTTGTACTAACAGGATATAAAGTGTTTTATCTTGATGTAATTATCTGTTTATTGCGCTAACTTAATATCATACTGTTAATATATACATCTCTTTATATATATAATTTTAAGAAATGTAATTATATATAATTTTATATAATTTAGCTAAAATTATGTATAGTTTAATATCATAATCCTATCTCCTTTTAACTATAAAACGAGTCTTAAGCTTTTTATAAAATTATAATCAACATATAAACTCAATTTCAGATATAAAATTATTGACTGGCAGAAGAATGTGACTAGTGACTACCATTGACGACTTGTATGCATGCTTGAAACATGTTTGAGTTGTCTTCTCCAAGTAAGCATGCATGTGTCTGAAAGCTTGAATATATTGGTGAAGTTTTGAACATGAGAATGGAGAGATTTTTGAATGTTGAAAGGGAAGTTCACTCGTAAATAATAAGTAGAATGGATACCTGAATGCACAAATATTGACAACACCTAAATACAAAGGTATATATCATTACTATTAGTGACGATTTCTTCATTCATTTTGTCATCTAGCAAAAACGTCTCAGGTGTTTGTAGTATCTCTTTCAGCCATGCCATAATGTTTAAAATAATTTATTTTGATAAATAATTTTAAAAAAATTATTTAATTTTAAAAATTATTATTATTTTATTTAATCCAGCGAAAAAGCCTATAAATAGCCACACTTCTTCTCCCAATAACACAACAACGGGTATCTGATATTTCTTCTTCAAACAAAGGGCATTATTATTATCAACAACGTTAACACTACTTTTTCATTCTCTTTGTTTCATTAAGATGGCTGAAAAGGCAGGCACAAGTAGGAATGTTCAGCTTCAAGCTTTTGACATGGAATGTGATATCGATGTGCCTTCGAACTCACGCAGTAACTCCGAATGCTACGACGAAGATGGCCGTCTCAAAAGAACTGGTACGCATCTCATTATTCATTTAAACCTGCTTTCACTTTTACTAACAACTGTTTCATGTCAACACATAATATCCAATTTAACTAAAATGTTCTTGCACGCTTTCATTAATCATTCTAAATATATTGAATGAGAGTGGTTTTTAGAAAGTTTTCTTTAATCAGAACGTCACTTTTCTTAATTTTTTTTTTCAATTCATTATTATTAGTTTTAAATTAAATTTTAATATATGTTTTTTAAATATACATTTTTAGTCCATACATTTATTCAAAAAATACACAATTTTTAGTCCTTAATGGAAAACCAAAACCACATCACTTTTGATAAATATAGGAACTAAAAACCTATTTTATTTTTATAAAGACTAAAATCAACATTTAAAAATATTTTGAGAGAAAAAAAAACATATTTTACCAAAACAAAATAGTTGACAGTTAGTTATGATGGTGATGAGAATAGTTACTTAAAAAGTGATTGATTTCAAGAACAAATTTTATGGTGAAAAAAGAAAAGAGAATGATTAAAAGGTGGTTTATAAGGATAAAATAATATTAAAATATGTATACAAGAAGGGATATCCTTTTTATTAATAATATATAAATTTAAAATGTAATTTATATGTTAAAAAAATATTTATTATAAATTTTAATTACAATATAATCTTTATATTAAAAAATATTTATTTATTATAAATTTTAGTTATATAAAATAAATATTTATCCTGTACATTATACAGTTGGTAGGTATGCTAAGATCATTAACTTATATAATAATTATTTTAAAAATAACGTTGTATCAATATATATAATAAATTAATTATATTGAATGAATGTGTTTTTAAGAAGTTTTTTTTTAATTAAAGTGTTTTTAGGGAGATTTATTTGAGGATAGCATTTTTAAGAATTTTCTTAACCTCTTACCTCTTAATTTATCATTCAATTATATTTTTAAATTTAAATTTAATATATATATATATATATATATATATATTTAAAAATCAATAATGTTTTTTATTGCAATATAAATTATTTGTTATGAATCAAAAATATAATTTATATATATTATTACAAAATTTAAATATAACATAATTTATATATTAAAAATATTAATTTATTATAAATTTTAATTACATAAAATAAATATTTACGTAGTGGATGAGTAGTTGTAACTTGTTGACAGTGTGGAAGTATTTTTATTTATGAAAATGGAAAATATGTAATATGTATTTGATGCAGGAAACGTTTGGACTGCAAGCTCGCACATAATAACTGCTGTGATAGGATCTGGGGTGCTGTCATTAGCTTGGGCCATAGCTCAGCTAGGTTGGATTGCTGGTCCTGCTGTTATGTTCTTATTCTCTTTGGTCACTTTCTACACTTCTTCCTTGTTGGCTCAATGTTATCGTACTGGTGAAACCAATTCTGGCAAGAGAAACTACACTTACATGGATGCAGTTCGCTCCATTCTTGGTATGTAACAATTAATTAGTTAATATGCTTTCACACACAACTAGTACGTGCATGATGTTCACCTTAAATGGTATCACATATATGTGTGTGTTACTGAGATACTAATGATAAGGTTATTATTGTAATCTCAGAATACAAGATGACTGCTAAATTAAAAAGGGTTCATCTCATGCACATGCTCTTGTCATTCAGAATACATGTACTTTTATATTCATGTTTTACAGAGAGGGAATTTTTCCTGGAAAATACGGTTTCATTTTTATTTTATTCGCCAACTTTGTATTCTGTATCTGTACTATAATTATATAATATATTTTGCAGGTGGAGCCAATGTTACATTTTGTGGGATATTTCAGTACCTGAATCTATTGGGAATTGTAATAGGATACACAATTGCGGCTTCTATTAGCATGATGTGAGTTCAGATTTACATTTATAATTCAATGCTGATACTTATAGTATACACACACCATTTTATGTCAATATTATTGTTAATCATTTAATAATAATTGAGCTTGTCTGTTGTCTCATTTTCTGCACGCTTATATATATTTTGATTTTGAGCAATACTTGTTACATAATCACTTAAAAAAGCCATGTTCCATTATCAACTGTTCGTACGTATATATACCATCTAATTGTTATGATTGTATTATACACTAAGAAAAATTGAAATGTAACATGCATGATGATCATTGATGGGTTTGATACAATTTCATTGAATTTGATTGACAGGGCAATCAAAAGATCTAACTGTTTCCATCAATCTGGGGGCAAAAACCCATGTCACATGTCAAGCAACAAATACATGATCATTTTCGGTATATGCGAAATTTTCCTTTCTCAAATTCCCGATTTTGATCAAATATGGTGGCTCTCAACGGTTGCTGCAATCATGTCTTTCACTTATTCCACGATTGGTCTCTCTCTTGGAATTGCCAAAGTTGCAGGTGATATTCAAAATGCTCCCCTATACTTGCACCATTGTTTAATATATATGACACTTTTCTTAAGTTTACATCACATAGGCTGAAATTTTGGTTGGATCATGAACAGAAACGGGTACATTCAAAGGTAGCCTCACTGGAATCAGAATTGGGCCTGTGTCACAGACCCAAAAGATTTGGAGGACTTCCCAAGCTCTTGGTGACATAGCCTTTGCCTATTCATATGCTGTGGTTCTCATAGAAATTCAGGTACACCCTTCAAAAACTAAGAATTAACTAGGGTCATGTTTCCATAAACTTATTCATAAACACTTATAAGAAAGAAACAAGAAAATGAATTGAACTTCTCTGATGGAAAAACTTCTATAGAAATTAAATTGCTCTAGTTGTATTTACTTTACATTATTATTTTCTTTTCCTATAAGTGAAGTTCATTCAAAGAGAGTATAATTAAAAATATAGTATGTATGATTTATCATATAATAAGCAAGCCAAAATATAATATTTTGGTGAGTACAGGACACAATAAAATCTCCACCATCTGAAGCAAGAACAATGAGGAAGGCGACACTGATAAGCATTGCAGTGACGACAACATTTTACATGCTTTGTGGGTGCATGGGGTATGCTGCTTTTGGAGATGCTGCACCTGGGAATTTGCTCACTGGCTTTGGCTTCTACAACCCATATTGGCTCATAGACATTGCAAATGCTGCCATAGTGATTCACCTTGTGGGAGCATACCAAGTGTTTTCCCAACCCATCTTTGCCTTTGTGGAGAAAGGGGTGACAGAAAGATGGCCCCACACTGTGAAGGAGTTGAAGATTCAAATTCCTGGCCTCCCCCCTTACAAGCTAAACATGTTTAGGTTGGTTTGGAGGACAGTGTTTGTTGTCCTAACAAGTGTCATATCAATGCTGCTTCCATTCTTCAATGACATTGTGGGAGTCATTGGGGCATTGGGATTTTGGCCCCTAACAGTTCACTTTCCTGTGGAGATGTATATTGCACAGAAGAAGATTCCAAAATGGAGTAGCAGATGGATTTGCCTCAAAATATTTACCATGGCCTGCCTCATAGTATCAGTTGTTGCTGCTGTTGGCTCAGTGGCAGGTGTCTTACTTGACCTTAAGAAATATAAGCCATTCCACTCAAACTATTGAGCTTCAGCCACTTGGTTTTAGTTTCTGTGTACCACTGTATGTCACATTCTCCTTAGTTATACTTGTTTATTGAGCTTATTTTCATGTTTCAACTTTCAACTGCAACTTATTTCTAATAGGAATTTACCTCACTTCACACTCCAAAAATGGATGCCCTACGTCTAGAATCCGCAGTCTCTTCATTGTTTCTCTTTAATTTTGAAGTTACATTTTTTATTAAAAACTATTTATTTACAAATGTCTAAATTATGTTAAATTTATATACATAATTGATGGATCATTAAATAATATTGAATACGGGATTCAAATTTCAATTAATAAAATTTATTATATATAAAATATTGTTCGATATACAAATTTGTTAAACTTGTAAGTTGTAACTGTAAAGTACCTTATTATTTTTTTTTTAAAAGAACTGTAAAGTAACTACTAAAATACAAAAGTAATATGTTATCATACTATGAAGAAGAGGGGAAGGCCAATAAAGCCAATAGAGGAAGTAATAAAGAGAAATCTCATCTTAAATAAAATTACTGACACTTTGTTCTTTAATCAAGCAAAATGGCGTCATGTGCTTAGTAAAATAAAACTTAAATTGCCGTAGTAAACAATAAAGAGTTTGGATGTCTCCATTTCTTTTTCTTTATTTCTTATCCATTTTTATAATTTTGGATGTATAAATGATATTAAATCTTAATCACAAAAAAGTAATTAACATTTAACATCATTTATACACTCAAAATTATAGAAATAAATAAAAAATGAAAAGGATGTCAATTCAACAATAAAGGGTCAAAACAACTCCAAAATCAAATAAGAAACTCACAACTAAAGGTTATAAATGTGCAAGTTATTCATAAATTATCTAAATATGCTTTATTTAATATTTAATAAATTTCATTTATTTAACTAAATAAAATTGAAAAACTGAGTTTAAATTCAATTATTTAATCGAGTGAAGATTAGCTTCTTTTTTTTAACCAAGCGAAGAACAAAATTTAAAAATAATAATTGTAGCTTATAAAAGTTAAAATCTATTTTTTTTATCAACTTATAAAACCTATTTCTTATTAACTTATATATAAGTTAATATATAAAAACTATTTTTTTTTTACTTTTCTAAAATCTTATTTTTATTTTAGACAAGTTAATTTTAGCTCATGTAAATGTTACTTTATTTTTTTATAATGTTTTTTCTACAGTTACTTCTGAAAAAATTTATCTAAACAAATTCATGTTTACATCTGTGCATACAATGAATATATTTTATTATCGATTCAGCCGATATACATTAAATGAAAATAAATTTTTAGAAAGGAAAGGATATACATAACAATATTTACACACTATAAATATTTAATAAAGTATATTCCTACTTGTTATAGTCTGCCGTTTATGTAATTATAATGTTTAAGGATTTTTAACATTCTATTTTCACTCCCTTTTTTGTTATCCAGCTATTCATTAAATACCAAATAAATTCAAAAAATACTTCCAAGATGAATTTGAAAAGAGGAAGACGCTATTCAAATTTCAATTGTTTTTAAATTAAATCCGACTCAAGTTTTATATTTGACTTGTTTAACGAAATAAATCAAACTCTAATAACACTAAACAAATCACGTAGAAGCTTTAGTGCCCTTAATTTGACTCATTTAACTAAGCCACCTTCATACAAACTAAATCGAAACTTTAATAGCTTAATTTGACAGCCTTATTTACACCACTCGCAATATGTACATAGAAATAAAGTTGAATATACAGAGTTTATCCAGAACAAATGAAAAACGTACAGAAATTTTTCATGAGTTGACTAAAGACTTTGTTGTCACAGCATCAAACAAAATAGTTGAACAAGCTCAACCGAACTCCGCTGATGACAAACAATTTAAAATGTATAAAATGCAGAAGCTTGTGCGAAGATCCATGTATAAATTGCAGCTTTTGGTGTCAATCCATGGTATATGTATTCAAGACATCATCGTACTATAGCACAAGTATAAAAAGGAGGGCTTCCCGGGACCCACTTTGGGGTGGATCCTCTCTTGAACCCTAAAAAAAAGGATCACTCATGGGCCCTCACTAGGCAGGGATAATGAATAATGAAATTGATAGCTCAAAAAGATATTTTACATGAACAAAACATGCTACATTAATAAAACATTTGTAGAAACCCAACGACCGGACCCAAGACTTGAGAGACGCCAAACAAGGAAGTGGTATTTCACCATCGATGCATTATAACTTCAATCAAAACAAATATGCAATTAGGGAGGTTGAGCGTGGTCCCCTCTGAACAGAATCGTTGAACAAATTACCTTGAAGTGGGTCAATTATCAAAAGACTAGACTAGAAAAGCTCCTCCGAATTGAATTTATTCCAGGCTTCCTGTAATAAAAATGATTAAACTTTCAGGCAAAATAAAGGCTATTCCGGAATCAGCAATAATAATATATACGAGTCTTGTTCAAAAGAAAAGGGCGAAAATTTATTAAAGTAATGATGAAACTGCAAATAACTGACCACTAACTGCAGCTACCAATTTTTGGGGTAACGAAATAATGTATACATTGGGAACACCACCAAACAATAAAAAACAACACTTATTCTTTTTAACTAAAATTAACATATTAGAGACATCATGAGATCAAACCCTGCTTGATAAATTCAAGCTGTCACAGACCATAATAAATATCAACTAGTCGTCTAGCTTCTTCAAAGCTATCTACGTAGGGGTAAAATAATCTGAGAGCACATGATGAAACACTTTGTACATTGAACCAACAAGAATATGCAGTAGCTCGATAAATTCTGCAAGGTGGCACTCAAGTTCTTTTATAAATCACAATTGTAAGTTTTGTTGGTTTAGTGCACAAACAGAACGGCATTCGGTTTACACAATTTCACCAAAATCCTAAATTCTTGTTAAACTGATTTAATGCAGCAAACCATATAAAGCTTCTAAGGTGACATTATACGTTGTGGACTAGAACACAAAGCTCAATGAGTTGATAGTAGCTCAGGTAAATAAATATTTATATCATTTTGTCTGTTAGTAGTTGTACTATGCGTCACAAAACTCAAGCAAAAGAAAATGAAAGGGAAATGTGGGAAAGCTTGTAAACATTTCCAAGAAAATGATAACACATAATAACTCAAGATACAATATCAAGTGACTCAGTTTATCTTAATAACAAATACTTTGGGAAAAACTCACCATCTTATTAACATATGTTACCTTATTCAACAATATCGTACAAAATAAGATCCTAAGCTGGAACAAAGGATGGATGATAAAATTAATGAAATGATAGATATCGACCTCCTATTAAGAGGGTGTACAGTGTACAGTAGGAGAAATGGGCAGGGAAAAGGGGATTAGACTAACAGAATAATTGAATTCATTAGTTAGTTAGAGAGTTACGTGATGTATAAAAGGGGAAATAATGGTCTGTAGAGGGGATCTTTGATCATTCATTGGAGGACAGTTCAAATTTCTCAAAAACTTGAACATTTAGCTGCAATAAAATTATTTTTCGTTTTTTTCTCAATATCTGAACCAGTTCTATCAGCTGGTATTAGAGCCTTCCACCATATCTCCCAGCTACAAATGAGCGATGTGGGAGGTGATGCCAGCATTGTGGTGTTCACCCAGGACTAATCAAAGGGGCTAGAGTGCACAGCCAGCCTGCATGAGCACCAGCATTGTGGGATCACTGGGATGTGGTGGGATGTTAGGATCCAATTGCAAGGTATGGGACTTGAGTCCCACATTGGAAGTATGTGGCTCTAATGTGGGGTTTATAAGGCCTTGGGCTCTCCAACTACAATAGCTAGGTTTTGTGGTGTGGTAGGTTCTCCCAAGCTTCTTGTTATGAACCCTAGCTAACAGTGTGAACACTCATTTCAAGAATTTAAGGTGAGGGACCAGGAAAAAAGAAACTGATGCTCTACAAAGGCACAGCAGAGAGCAGATCATTGAAGACCCCACACAGCTCTTACTAGTTTGTGATACAACTGGAAAATAAACAACATTGCTATCGGAAATCCTGTCTTGGCATGGACAGAATTTGACTGAAAAATGCTACATAGGAATCACTTCTAAAATCTTCTCAGAATAAAAAGGGTAGCTTAATCTACATCAAGATACCCAATGATTGCCATCGGCTACTATAAATAAATTCTCTATAAAGCATTTTGATCAAAAAGCATATACAAGTTACATTAAATGACCAGAAATACCTTGAGTAGATCAAACACCTTCTCTGCAACATATTTCTGCTGTAGATTGGCACCCTTCTGCTGCACTTTATCAGGATGGATACACAGCGTAGCTTTCCTGTAGGCTTTTTTAACAGACGCAGCTGTGATCAAATCAGTCAAAGAAACTGGCTGCCAACCACATTCAGGCCACAACACCTGATCATCATTCATGAAGGAAGCAAGTTAACAAAATTGATACAAATTCTGTAACAAAAGAAAATAACGCCATAAATTAAGGGACTGCTTTCACTGCTTCAGAATTCAAATGCCCGGACTTTTCAGAGTGTATAAATAATTACAGAAACAAGTTCTTCTGACTCTCCTTTCATTTGGATTCACTGCAATTGAACTATGGTATATTCTAACATTCTTTCCAAAATCAAACTAGTTTCCCAAGGAGGTGTTTTTTCTAGCAAAAATCTGATCAGAAATTGCTACTCTGGACAATGTCAATTGCATGAAATAGAAATAGTGGTTGCACCCAATGAGGAGCACTTCAAACCCATACAAGTGGTTTTACAGTGTCAGAATCAGAAAACCTATTTACATCTAGCCCTAGGGTAAAAGACTGATGATCTGAGAATATATATGCAAAAACATAAATATCACATCATGCAATATATTAAAATTTGAACCTAAGAATTCAAAAAGAAGACAAAAAGATATAATTTATGCCTACTATTTCCAGGCACCATTGGGATATGGACAGAAAAATTCAGAGAGATTTATCAAAAGTCGTGTACACACTAAGTACATACATATTGCAAGGTGGAAAGCAAAGCTCGTAAATTCCCCTCTTTTCCTGCAGCCCAGCGCTTAATTTCAAAATCCAGTGTTTCACCAATCCTCTGTAATCAGCGCACAGAAAATAAATTAGATAATAAAGATAAAGGATATTAAAAAAATTCACGCTTATATTAATGGCTTTTACAAAACAGGTTTTTTGGCCAGAACAAGGATGAAGGGGAATTAATGGTGTAGATGCAGATTTAACAAGTATATGAACAGAAACCCACTCACCTACAAATTAAAAAGAATAAAAAAACTACTTACATTTCTCTCAGCTTGTTCTCTTTGAGTTTGCAAGTCCCGTTGATTCTTCTCAGCCAATGCTTTTTGCTAGAATAAAATGGCAATGGTCATTAACATAGACAAACAAGTTGAAACAATTTTGTATGAAAAGATACATTTGAGACCTCCACATAAATCTAATGTCAAGGTGGTTCAAAAAGAAAGTATTCTTCGTATATTCTTTTAACAACTACCAATAAACAATGAAGAAATCAAATTAAGGAGACAAATACAGTAATGCAATAACACATACAGCACGCTCCTGAGCCCTCTGGTGGCGCTCCAATCTAGCTCGTCGCCTTTCTTCACTTTCCCCTTCAACTTCCTGAAACTCTCCAGATGATGGAGCAGCTTCAAACCATAAAAGAAAAAGGAGAAAAAGAACCAAGTAAGCATTGAAACAAACACGCAAATCACTACCAAATAAATATATTGAAAATACAAAAACCTACCTCCAAAAATTGAGGAAAGATCATCAACAATATTAGTGGATGATGATGCTTTCTTCATATTTGTAGATGCACTTGTAGATTTCCTTGTTACATCTGACTGAAATTGGGACTCAAATACAGAGTCCTGAAAACATCCAGGTTCAGAAAATTAGCAACAAATTTTCAAACAGAATTGTTCTAGTGTTAATATGCATGTCAATCTTACCTTTTCAATTTAATTTAATAATAAATAGTTTTAAAATTTTAAAAAACTGCATAAATATCCACTCATCATTTTAAAAAAAACACATTTGTTGTTTAGAATAAAAAAGGAAAGAATAAAATAACTACCCTCTATCTATAACTTCCTACTTTACAAGGTTTAAATTTTGCAATGCGTTAATATATCAACACACGGAATCCAAGTTTTCGGCATTATATGTTGGTATAGAACTATAGATTAAAAAAAAGTTCCTCACAGTAGAGTTAGCCCTAGGAGGCCTTGGAACACTGTTAGCTCGTGGGCCCATGCCAAAGAAGGATTCCAGATCATTTTCATTCTTTTGTTGGTTCATCCTTGAAGCAGCTGCAGCCCGTTCTCGGGCCTCAGCTGCAGCCCTTTCTCGGGCCTCAGCTGCAGCCCTTTCTACAGCAGCACGTTCAGCTTTAACTCGTGCTTCTGCTTCTGCCCTTGCAGATGTAGCTCTTTCCCTTGCTTCCCTTTCCTTTGCCTCAGCAGCAGCCTTTTCAGCTCTTTCTTTCGCCTCTGCAGCAGCCCTTTCTCGGGCTTCAGCTTGTGCCCTTTGCACTGCAGCCCTTTCAGCACGTCCTCGAGCTTCAGCATTAGCTTTATCGACAGCAGCCCTCTCAGCTCTTTGGCGTGCATCAGCAGCTGCTCTTTCGCGTGCTTCTCTAGTAGCTCTTTCAACAGCCTGCCTTGCCTTTTCCCTCTCCATTCTCTGTTGTTCTCTTTCTTTCTCCTCTCTTTCTTTCATAAGTCTTCTTTGCTCCTTTTCATCCCTCTCCTTTTGCTGCCGTTCACGGTCTAACCTTTCCTGTTTTTCTCTCTCCTCTAGCACAGTTCTCTCATCTTTTTCCATATGCACAGCTTCTTTGCTTCTAGCAGCCTTTGAATACTCTCTCTCCCTAACTTCTTTTGCATGTCTGAACTTAGCTTCAGCTCTATCCATTGCCTCTTTCATAGCTGCAGCAGCAGAGTTCATCTCTAATTCTTCATCGGGAAGACCATCTCCGCTTTCATTATCATTATCACGACTTCTGCCCATGGCAAAATCATCTAGTTCATCAAACTGAGATGAAGGGGATACCCTTCCAGCAGCTGGAGCAGACTTGGGAGCATGAGAGAATCGGGTGGAACCAGGAAATGGAGAAAAATCATTAGCCTTCTTTCTAGCATTGGTAGAAGCTGATGAACTTGTTTCTGACTTGGGAATATGCACAGGCCGTGGAGGAGGGGGTCGAGAGGGTGGTGGAGCAGTAGTTGGTTGTGTAAAAAGAGGAATCTCTGATACTGTCAGCCATATATCCTCGCTTGATTCCAAGTTATCTTCATATTTTGGAGACATATCTGCTTGAATATTAGCTTGTCTAAAATCATTGTTATATGGAGGGGACATAGACCTTTGATTAACTGGTTTATCAGAATCGGATGAATAGGTAGGCATGTGAAATGGAGCCTGTGGAAATTCCTGATCATTGTCAACAGGAATCTTGTTTTGAGTGTGCCTCTCAGGACTCCTCCCAGATACTTTATCAACTGGTTCTTTATCTCCAGTCGAACTTGGGCCTCTATTCAACCTTGGGGAACTGCTACCCTTCCTGCTATTTCCCTCTGATGAGAAAGCTGGTACAGATTTTCCAAGACCATCAAAAGGATCGATATCTTCATATACTTTGCCATTTGAAGTTGAAGAACTATCATTTTTTGTGCTTCTAGAACTACCAAATTTACTAATTTCATCCAACGGGTCCATAAAGTGGCCTGCAGGTGAATCCACTGGAGCTGAAGCTGATTCAAATACTTTGAAAGGGTCTTCTGCCACAGTGGAGGTTGTTTTAGATGCACTGGCAGTTGGTTCTGAGGACAACCCAATATCAGGAGTGTGCCTGATAGTAACAATATATAAAGAGATTATGATACATCAACCATTAACAAAAAAAACCAATATCTATGAATCAGTCATCAAAGATAACTAGATAAGTATAGACAAGTATCAAGCTGTTCATTCCACTTATCAAATAAAAACAAATCTATAGACATTGACTGAAGATTCACAGAAAATATAAGAGAAAATGTTCATAGAAAACATTTTGAATTTGATATAGGTTTATTTCACAAATGGAACAAATAACTTTTTAATATGTTCCCCTCTAAAAAGATTACAAATGTATCTTTGACATTTGATTACTTCTTATTCTCATTTTTACCACTCTTAGAGCATTGTTTGCCGGGCTATCGATGTTACTTGCATTCATATTCACTGCAGCTTTTAAAAACATATTTATCATTCATAAAATAAAATAGAAAAGAGAGAAAGACATGATAAGTTTTTGTCCCAAGTTGCACACACCATTTAATTTAAGATTTTAACTATCACATATGTTCATTGAATGATGTATGGTAAGTATGTAAACTACAAATCAGAAATTAAAACAGATAGAAATTTATCTTCAACACAAACAAAAAGATGCATATGTACTAGCATACAAAGCAATAGAGTTTGTCTAGACAATTATAAGGAAAGGGAACAACAATGATCAAGTAGTGACCACGAAATAATAGAAAAGAATGAAAAGAACAAAAGAAATCATTTAGTTGATATGCCTTTCTATTCCATAAATAAATAAAATAAATGGATAAAAATGTTGGTTATAAATGGATTTTTCCTTTTATTATGATTAATTTTATGGACATACTTGCATGTTCGCAGATTCAAACTATAACTAATCCCTTTCCCCCTCATTCTGTTAAATTATTACGTAAAACTGGTTCCCTGGAAAGGACAATCTCCTCTACTTTCCTTCTACCACATCAAATCTAAATCTAAATAATAATAATAATAGTGGGAAAAGGCTTTTAGTTGTAGTAGAAAGAAACAGTAATGTAATAGTAAACATGAGCATTAGATTTGGATTCCTCCTGCCGCTAATCAAATTCTCTTCAGTTCTGTCTAGCCAAATGAGATGCTTAGCAACAACAAAATTTCAAGATTTTCAACTCCTAGCTCCTACTAGACAAAGCATCCAAAAATAACTTAACTTTCTTTCGTCAAGGTAGACCTGCTGCACATCAGCAACCAGATAAAACGAAGAATTAAATTCATAGAAACACACTAGATTAATAGCTTAATCTTTACAGGGTGCATGACATTCTCAAACTATCAAAACACACTAGATGAGCTTGTATAGACACGTAGACAATTCAAATGTAAATCGTTGCCAACGACTTGCTTTCTCCATGCAAATTTAACCCAATTATTAGGCCATTGACTCCTCTAAAATCACTCGATTCTTTAATGAAGCTCATTCCTAATTAATATATTAGAATCTAGACAGTAGAGAGTTTCTCCGCATTAGATGTAGAATGTGCAACTCGCCGCAGCCTTTCCGCTAATTTTCAATTCGACGTAGTCAATTTTGACATTTCTCACTGATGTTTCCAGATTTCAAACCAGAACAGGTTTTCCCACAGAACACAAAATTGCAGCTCTCTCTGACACTAAATTCCAGATTTAAATCACTAAATTGCGAATTAAGTAGAACTTCAAAACCATGAACACCACTACTGAACAATGTCAATTCCAAAAGAACATTATTTACCAAACACAAACACACACACACACACACACAAGCACATATATATATACCTGCCACTACTGTTTCCGAATCCAGCAAGCAAATCATCAAAGTCAGAAACACCCTTCCCATCCTTCTCCGATCTCTTCCCACCCGAACTCTTCGGTTCGTTCCCAAACCCGCCGAGAAGATCGTCAAACGCGGCGGCACCGCCTCCACCTTCGGACGTGGCAGCGAAAAAATCGTCGAATTTAACCTTGGACGACGTGGTCTTCAGCCCCGGCACGCCGTCAAAAATGTCGTCGTCGTACACCGGCTTGTCGTAGACTGGCGGCGGCGGCGAATTGGCGGACCTGGCGGGCGGTCCGCCGTACATGGAGTCCAAATCGAAGGCGGAACCAACGCGGCGGTTGTCGGATCCGGCACCGGCGAGGAGATCGTCGAAGGGCTTGGCGTCGCGGCGAGAAGCGGAGGATCGCGATCCGAAATCGAAGTTGAGAGGCACCGAGGCGGCGTTGGAGGATTGCTTGGGAGCCATTGGCGCGGACTTGCCCTGTGGCTTGAGGCCGAAATCGGAGGTGAAGAGGCCATCGAAGTCGTTCATGGTTGGGAGGAGGGATGATCCGGTGCGGGAGGGTGCAGGGGGATGGTGTTAAAGAGCATGCGGTGACCTACCTGCCTCTGCTTTCTGCTTCGGTTGCGGGGTTACGCCTTTGATTCCTCTTCCTCCCTCCTTTTGCCTTCTTCCATCATTTCCCAAGCAAGATCCATCCACCTTGTTTAAATTCCTTTTTTTACCCTCTTCAATCATGTAACTTGTTAATAAAAATAATTCTGTATTCAAGACATCAATTCCCCCTTTCACCCACCTTATTCTTTTTCTTACTTTTGCTTTTTCTTCCCTTTAATTTATTCTTAATTTTCCCATATATAAATTTCTTTTTTAATGCATCACATGTATTTTTCTGTTAGACATGAAGACAATGTTGTTCCAATGGACTAGTATCGCTATAAAGACAATTTTTTTATGTTTTATTTATTCATTATGTTGTCACGTTTAAGATTTAGTAGGGTTAAGTTCAAAATATAAATACTCGGCTTGTTCTATGGTTCCTAAATTTTAGGTTTTGTATATAGTAATTGATAATTGATTATTATATATATAATTTAAAAAATGAAAGCAACAATCATTCCTTTACTTTTAATTGAATTGAGATTATTAATTTTTGTTTTTAATATAGATGAGGACAAATTTTGCATAATTTAAATATGTAAATGATGAGACTTGCTTAATTATTATATTTATTTATCATATAATTTAATTTATATGTTAGATGCGACAAAATGAGTCTTAACTCTTAACTAAATTATTTATAGATTATTTAGAGATAAGTTTTCTAGAAATTATGATATCTTCTAGAATTTTAGTGTCTAATAAAGAATAGCCTCTTAAACTTTTAAGTAGGGGGACAATCTTCTTAATAGAAATACAAGGAAAGTTAAAACTATAATGAATTTTTGAACTAGTGAATGATACTATAGAGAAAACGATTTGTTTTTATGAAGACATGATGTTCCCTTGTTAATGCTGTGTTGAAGAGGATTTTGACAAAATCATGATAGAAGATGAGGCAAATATGTTAGAAAATAAATGATATGGAATAGTTTAAGAGCAAGTGTTTTTTTATTAATAGCTAATAGCAAAAAAACCATTCATAACTTTGTGTATACTTTTTAGGAGATTTTGGTAGAAAATAGTTGTAATAAAAAAATATTAAGATTTGAAAATAGATGGTTTTTTAATTATGAAAAGTAAAGAGTTTTAAGAATTATAATGTGTGTAGGGATAAAAGTGTCTAATAAAGAAATAAAAAATAACTAGGTAGTTACTAAATCATATATCCTTTATAATATGCACTAGCAAGGTTAAGACATCTTATACCTTTGAATTTTATTTAAAAAATTAAAATTAAATAAAAATTAAGATTAAATAAATAAAAAAATAGTACACACATATTTATTAGTTTAATTAGTGTTGTGATTGATCTTCTAGTTTGAAGGTCTCAAGTTCAAGTTTTAATTTGAATAAAAATATTTTTGTAGTTATTAAAAGGGATATCTCCTTTATATATTAATATAAATATATATAGATGTATAATATAAATATAAATATATATAGATGTATAATATAAATATAAATAATATGTATAAATATATAGATTAATGGGATAAATGGTGTTGAGCATGGAAAAAATCTTTCTGTGAAATTGTCTGAGGAAATGGCTAGTTTCAAAACCTTGGAACAAAGACTACAATGATAAGAACTAGGGCTACCAGAACAAAACTAAGAAAGATTTAATTCAGAATTTCATCCTCCCTTCAATTCCAGATATTCAGGTATTAAATACCTCTTACAATGGTCTAAAGAGACCTTGGAGGAAAAGATAAACATTATGGGCTTATAAACTGAAAGAGCAAAACTATTCCAATTTATAATCCTTGGCCCAATACGAAGGAAACTTGGGCCTACGAGAACTGGCCCTATCAATGCCGCTGGGTTGAGTCAGCACCTTGTCCTCAAGGGTGCTACGTGGCGCTGCGGAACAGGAGTTGCTTGGAAAGGCACGGATTGAAGGACTCACGGACGGTGGAGATGGGTTTGTGTTTTCTAGTGAAAAATCCAACGGTTTCAAGGTGATAGGCGTAAAAGAGGAAGAGTCAATAGCTGGTGTTGTTTCCAAGTGACTCGTGGCAGGCAAAGGAACAGCTGTTGCTGTTTTCATGTGTTGCGTGGCATGCAAAGGAACTTCCCGAGAGTTAATGTGCACACGAGTACCTCCCTTCGAATTAAGTGGGTCGCGCTCTTCAATCGTTTCGGAGTCCATGGTGCCGCCCACGGAGAGTGACGAGAGCGGTTCATCTTCCTCGAGAAGGGATGGCGGAGGTGTACGAAACAACGTCAACGGGTCGTCTCCAACGAAAGGACGCAGTTTCGACACATGAAACACGGGGTGGATCCGTGAGCCAGCCGGTAACTCCAACTCGTAAGCAACTATGCCAATGCGTCGACGAATCTGGAAGGGGCCATAGAAGCGTTTGGCAAGCTTTTGACTCATGCGATGATGGACAGAGGTTTGACGGTATGGTTGAAGGCGCACCCAAACCTAATCACCCACAGCAAAACAGGCGTCTCGGCAGTGTTTATCGGCTTCAAGCTTCATTCTCTGGCGTGCGCGATGGAGGTGATGTTTAACTATCGATACAATCATTTTGTGTTCTTGTAGGATGGCAGATACCGTGGGAAGCAGCAAGGCTTTGCCGGAAAGGAGATCAAGGGTGGTTGGCGGTGGGCGACCGTAGAGAACGTGAAAAGGAGATGTGTCCAAACTGGAGTGTTTGCTCGTGTTGTACCAAAACTCAGCAAGGTGAAGGATGCGAAACCACGAGCGAGGGGTATCACTCACTAAACAACGCAAAAAACATTCCAGTGTGCGATTGAGGACCTCCGTCTGACCGTTCGTTTGCGGGTGGTAGGATGAACTATACTTGAGCTTAGTTCCTTATGCTTTAAAAATTTCACGCCAAAACTGACTCAAAAAAATGGGATCTCTGTCAGAAATGATAGCTTTGGGAGCCCCATGAAGCCGAAAAATCTCCTGCATGAATCTTTGAGCGAGATGTTGAGCAGTGAAGTGAGTGGGAAGAGCCACGAAATGACTGTATTTACTGAGACGGTCACACACCACCCAAATTACCGTGTATCCATGAGAACTAGGTAAGGATGTAATGAAATCCATGGTCACCTCCTCCCAAACCTTACTTGGAGAATTTAAAGGTTGCAAAAGACCTCTTGGTTTCTGAGTTTCATACTTATTTTGCTGGCAGATTGGGCACCCTTTTATGAAACGACGAAGATCTGCGGCCATAGAAGGCCAGTGATAGGAAGCAACCAAGCGACTAAGACTGGTCTTAACCCCGGAATGACCTGCAATGGGAATGGCATGGTATTCGGTCATCAATTTCCTCCGAAAATCACATACCTCAGGCACGAAGAGGCGGTTCTGAAAATAGAGCAAGCCGTCACGAACAGTATATTTATCTCCTAACTGCGTATCCATGGTGAGTTTGTGAATTAATGCTTTCCCATCTGGATCTGATTGAAAAAAATTCCGCCATTGTTGCAGAAATGCTGGTATTGGGGAGGACACAGCTAATAGCACTGAATCTGGAGAGTCTGTGGGTTGTGATAAAGCATCCGCAACTAGATTATGGCGTCCTGCACGGTAGATGATTTGAAAATCAAACCCCAACAATTTCGTCAGCCATTTCTGTTGAGCAGGGGTTTGAATCGATTGGGACATCAAGTGTTGAAGACTCTGTTGATCCGTAAGTATCACAAATTTTTGCCCAAGTAAATATTGTCTCCATTTTTTAACTGCTTCTGTAATGGCAAACATTTTGCGGACATATACTGATTCACTTTGCATTTTGCTACATAATTTCTTGCTGAAAAACGCCAGCGGATGATGATCT